ACACACACACACACTCACAAACGCACACGCACACACACTCAAACACTCACAAACACACTCTCTCACTCAAACACACTCACAAACACACACACTCAAAACACACTCACAAATTCACACACATACACAAACTCACTCACACACACACTCAAACACGCACTCATACACTCACACGCACACGCGCTCGCACACACACACACACTCAAACAAACACACACACACACACACTCAAACACACTCATACACACACGCGCGCACACACACACACACACACACATTCAAACAAACTCTCTCACACACACACTGTTGTCATCTGAGCGTCTCTGTTGCCACAACAGTCTTGAACTCTACAATCATTTTAAGACAATGTATCTTTCAGAGTTTGTTGGATTTAAAACACAAATACAATAAATGTGTCATATTTATTTCGGGATAAACATGGATCAAACAGTTTTCCTAAAACAATTGTGAAACGTGGGAAATGGATTGAAACATACAGAAAAAAACCTGGAAACAGAGAAAATATGAACTGTGAATTGATTGGATGGTGAAAGTGAATAGTGAATAAGAGCAATGGATGGTGGAGAAAGTCACTATATTCATATTATTGACTTCTTTAAATAATGTTACTGATCAATCATTCCCAATAATACCATAACATGATGAAATAAGTATATAGAGCAATTTTGATTCGAAGTGTATACTACAGTTCAGACGTTTTTAAAAGAAGTCTCTTCTGCTCAACAAGGCTGCCTTTATTTGATCAAAAATACAGTAAAAACGGTGAAATATTACTACAATTTAAAACAGCTGTTTTCTATGTGAAGAGACAGTAAAATGTAATTGTTTCCTGTGATCAAAGCTGAATTTTTTTTGTGTGTAAACCATGATACACTACCTTAAAAAGGTTTGGGGCCGGTAAGATTTAAAGGGATAGTTCACCCAAAAATGAAAATTCTGTCATTAATTACTCACCCTCGTGTCATTCCAAACCCGCTAGACCTTTGTTCATCTTCAGAACACAAATGAAGTTATTTTTGATGAAATCCGAGAGCTCTCTGACCCTGCATAGACAGCAAGGGAGCCGAAACGTTCTAAATGACAGAATTTTCATTTTTGGGTGAACTAGCCCTTTAAATAAAATGACGAAATTAATACTTTTATTAATCAAGGACGCATTAAATTGATCAAAAGTGACAGTAAAGACATTTATAATGTCACAAAAGATTTCTATATCAAATAAATGCTGTTCTTTTGAACTTTGTTAATCTGTGAATCCTGACAAATAAAATGCATCACGGTTTCCACAAAAATAAAAAAATATATTGATCACAGCAATCAATTACTTTAAAATGGCGTCACTGATGATGAATCATTCTCAACAAGACCAGGATTATGAATTAAGTAAATCAGGTCGTTTTGATCTGAAGTGTTTTGACTGTTGGATGCTGCTGTATTCCACAGAAGCAGCCAACGCTCCACATTTCCAGATCAGATCTGCCTCTTCCAGAATGATTTAGGGTGTTTTTCCAGCTCATTTTGAAGCTGGTTTTCCAGCACATTCTTGACACTCGTCTGATCTCTTCATTCCCGTCTGTACTCCTCCTCCAGCTGGAGCTTCTCCGTGTTGTTGTGGATCATCGGCGGCTCGCTGCAGCCCTGCAGCTTGTCGAAGAAGCTGAAGTCTGCGGCCAGTTTCCCGCCGGTCGTGTCGGACAGCACAGGCTTGAACTCATAACCCCACAGGATCTCCTGCGGCAGGTAAGACGTGCGGCTCTGGCAGGTGGCGGCTGTGGACTCCATGGTGCCGTTGAGGGTCACCAGCAGCTCGAAGTCTTGTTTGGGCAGGTTCTCGGCTGTGAGGCTCCTCAGCGGGCTTCGCTCGTCCAGCACGTGATAGAAGGTGAGCGGCAGCAGCAGGAACGGACACTCGCCGCTGGAGTCCAGCTGGAAGTCCACGCTGCTCTGATGGACGAGGGTCTTCTCGGCTTCTTGCGTGACGTGGGTCGACAGCAGTTTCCCCGAGAGCTGACACTGAATCAGGAGGCTGTTCCTCATGTTGGCCACGCGCACCATCAGACACCAGCTCCCGCCGCGCTTGCACACCACCGCCGACCGGCTGAACTTGATGCTTCCCGCGCGCTTCTTGGGTCTCGCCAGCTTGGCCAGAAACGCACCGGTCACAAAGATCTCAGCCAAACCCGTGATGACCAGCTGCAGCACCAGAGTCACGATAGCCAGAGGACACTCCTCGGAGATGTGCCGGAAGCCGTAGCCGATGGTGGTCTGGGTCTCCAGCGAGAACAGGTAGGCGCCGGTCAGCGTGTCCACGTTCATCACGCAGGGCGTGTGATTGGACGACAGGTCGGCATGGAAGTCGCCGTTCCTCAGGCCGATGAGGTAGAAGACGACTCCGAACATGAACCACGTGGTGACGAAGGTGGAGGCGAACAGCGTGATCTTATAACGCCACTTCATGTCCACCACTGTGGTCCAGATGTCGTGCAGGAAGAGCTTGACCATCCCTTCCACATTATCGATCTTCACGTTACTGCGGCCGTCTTTAGACATCACACGCCGCACGTTATCCGTCATGCTGCAGGAAGAGAAGAGACGTGAAAATCATCCTTCACCATCTCAACTGCAACAGTCAGGGTTTCTGTGGGTCTTAAAAAGTCTTAATTTGCCCTTCCACAAATGACGGCATTAAAAAGGTCTTAAATCAGAGCAGAAAGTCTTAAATTCATAAAGTCGTGGTATTAAATGTTGCATGAACTGCAGAAAATGAATCTCTTCCTCAGTATTTGTGTACGGTGAACCAGTAGTGCACAACACAACGAAATCTCCACAACACAACAAAATTAGCACAACACAACGGAAGCATGCCACAACTCAACGAAATCGCCGCAGCACAATGGAAATGCTTCCGCTCCTTTTCTTGGCCACTATAGAGGATGCATTAAAACTAAAGACTCTATACCAGAGGCAATGGTCTAGCGAAATTCACATTTTGGGCATTTTAGTACCAATTATTTTAAAACCATTAGCCAAGTCATTTATATGGCTATGCAAATTTAAAGTGTCTTTTAAAAATCCTGCTGTAGTAAAATCTCTTTAAAATTAGTAATATTTTTAGACCATTAACTCTAGTATGAAGCCCAAATTTTAGCTTTAAAGCATTTACGTGGTGGCGAGAAACAGCGTTATGAAATGAATTCAACAGTGATAATATGTGCAAGTTCAAGAGTCCATAAAATCATCAGTATGGTATAGTAAATTGTTCAAAATTAAGGTTTTGTTAGTCCATTACCACTATATAAAGCTTGCATGTTAGTTATCTTTATAGAAGGCAGCGGCTATATGCAGTGTAAGTAGCATATTTTAGATGCTGTTTACACTAATTGACAATAGAAAGTATTTTATGGATACACTGTTTACACTAAGTGAAAATTAGTGTTAAATTAAGTTAACGGACATTGGTGAGTGTAATTAGTGTAAATAGCCTATATGTCAAAAAGGCTGGCTAGTTGTACTTAATGTAAACACTCCGTTTTTGAAATGGCACCATGATATGGGGTGATATATAATGTACTGTCCCATAGAAACTTTAAGGGTTCGTGAAAATATACTGGATATCAAAATTTGGATATTCATTAGACCCTGCATTAAATCCCTCGGCTCATTCAACAGTAACAGTGCTTAAAAAAAAGCGGCGCCATATTTATTAAAGAGGTGCTCATGTGGTAAAAAGTAGCAAATATATATGTTTGTGTGCATAGGACCATTTCCGTTGTGTTGTGCTAATTTCGTTGTGTTGCGACTTTTTTCCGTTGTGTTGTGGCTTGTTTCCGTATCCGAGATTTCGCTGTGTTGTGCACTACTGGGTCACCGTATTTGTGTCTTGTTTTCCAGTACAAATGTCTAAGCATCCTTAAATCAAGAATCATTTACTGAAGATGCAAAATTAAGATAAGAAGTCTTGTTTTCTGAGAAACGTTACAAAATGAAGTGAGTTTATGATTAAAACAAGAATAAATATCTGTCAGTAGGGAATGAAAACTTTAAATTAAGTAGATTTTTCTGAGCAGACTCATAGATATTTGTTCTTGTTTTAATCATAAACGTAATTTGTTTTGATCAATTTCTCAGAAAACAAGACTTTTCAAGACGTGCCATTTTGCATCCCCAGTAAATGTGTCTTGATTTAAGAATCTTTAGATGTTTGGACTAGAAAACAATACAAAATGCCATATCGGCCTTCGATACTGTAGATCATAATATTTTGGTATCTCCATGTTGGAATTCGTGAGACTGCTCTTAAATGGTTTAAGTCGTATCAAGCAGATAGAAGTTTTGCGGTTAAACTGGGAGAATATATGTCAACACCAGCTCCACTAAAGTGCGGAGTCCCTCAAGGGTCTATTTTCGCCCCCCCTTTTATTCTCACTTACTCTCTTTAGGAGCTATATTTAGGAAACACAATATTTTGTTTAATTGCTATGCCGAAGATATGCAGATTTATCTGCCTCTTCAAAAAGACTGTGGGTCTGGTATGAGTTTGCTTTTGAACTGCCTAACTGACATAAAGGACTGGATGGCATTTAATTTTTTTAAATTCAATGAAAATCAAACCGAGATTATGCCTTTTGGTCCAGTTAGTAATCAAACTACCATAAATTCTATCCTTGGCTCCTTGGCTAAGCATAACCAAGCAGTGGTGAAAAATCTAGGTGTACTATTTGACTCAGATTTTAAATTTGACAAGCAAATAAATTCAGTGGTCAAATCTTGCTTTTTTTAATTTGAGACTTTTTGCAAAGATGAAGTTCACAGTTCAAAATGTGGCTGCGAGATTGTTGACAGGCACCGAAAGCGTGATCTTATTGCTCTTATCCTGTCCTCTCTCAAATGGTTGCCGGTCCGTCTCCAAATTGAATATAAACTCTTATTGTTTGTTTTCAAATCTCTGAATGGGCTCGCACCAAAATACCTGGAGACATTAGTGAACCGGCATTCCTCTGTTAGGCCCCTGAGATCATCGGACCAGCTTCTATTAGCGGTTCCCAGATCTAGATGAAAACTTAGAGGAGATCGTGCTTTCTCGGTTGCTCTCCCCAAACTTTGGAACTTTTACTCTCATGTATCAGATCCGCCCAGACCATCTCTAGTTTTAAATCTTTATTAAAAGCTTATTTATTAACTAGGGCTTTTAATTCTCCGGGCGATTAATTCTTAGGTGTGTTCTTGTTTCCTGTTGTGTTTGTTTTATGCTCATGCCCATCTTTTATTATTTTATTTTATTGTGATGTACAGCACTTTGGGCAGCCTTGGTTGTATTGATATGTGCTTTATAAATAATAAATACAAATACATATGGCAAACAAATTATATATTTTCAAAATTAAAAAAATGGACAAATATATTTTTTAAAAGATTTTTTTACAAAATATATTTTCCAATAATTTAAAAATATATTTTGCCTTCCATATTTTTCAATCCAAGAAAATACATTCACATGTCACAAACATTATTTGTGGTCTATAACAGATCTGAACATATAACACATTTGAATTAAAATAACTAATTAATAAATCCTAAATGTAGGCTACTGTAACATTGGAAATGTATTTTCTTGCCCTTGTATTTTATATAAGTTCTTTTGCAGTGTGATCAGAATGTAGAGTAAAATTAGTTTTCATATTCTAGTGGTTGAGAGCAAAGCTATTCAAACCTTAAGATTTTTTATTAGGCATTCCTCTGTTAGGCCCCTGAGATCATCGGACCAGCTTCTATTAGCGGTTCCCAGATCTAGATGAAAACTTAGAGGAGATCGTGCTTTCTCGGTTGCTCTCCCCAAACTTTGGAACTTTTACTCTCATGTATCAGATCCGCCCAGACCATCTCTAGTTTTAAATCTTTATTAAAAGCTTATTTATTAACTAGGGCTTTTAATTCTCCGGGCGATTAATTCTTAGGTGTGTTCTTGTTTCCTGTTGTGTTTGTTTTATGCTCATGCCCATCTTTTATTATTTTATTTTATTGTGATGTACAGCACTTTGGGCAGCCTTGGTTGTATTGATATGTGCTTTATAAATAATAAATACAAATACATATGGCAAACAAATGATATATTTTCAAAATTAAAAAAATGGACAAATATATTTTTGAAAATATTTTTTTACAAAATATATTTTTCAATAATTTAAAAATATATTTTGCCTTCCATATTTTTCAATCCAAGAAAATACATTCACATGTCACAAACATTATTTGTGGTCTATAACAGATCTGAACATATAACACATTTGAATTAAAATAACTAATTAATAAATCCTAAATGTAGGCTACTGTAACATTGGAAATGTATTTTCTTGCCCTTGTATTTTATATAAGTTCTTTTGCAGTGTGATCAGAATGTAGAGTAAAATTAGTTTTCATATTCTAGTGGTTGAGAGCAAAGCTATTCAAACCTTAAGATTTTTTATTATTATTACAATTATTTTCAATTAAAACGTAATGAAAATCAGCTGAAAGTTGTATTTTTAAACTTTGAAGTGTTGCTTATAAATAGCATTCACATTTAGACATATTGATGCATTGTGTTCCATTCCATATATTCCTTACATTTTCTTTACTTGGTCTTAAATGTCTTTAAAAAGTCTTAATTTTACCTTCATAAAACCTGCCTAAAACCCTGATCAAGCGCTCGAGTAACCAATCAAACTAGACAAACGAACAAACATGGTGCTAGCAACGCCAAGGTCATGGCTTCGATTCCTCGGGGAAGCAAGATCTGATCAAATACACTTTGAATCCAATTTAGATAAAAGCGTCTAACGATTGTGTAAATGTAAAATAAATGAGATCTGCATCAGCTTCATCCGGCTGCATGTCAGAGAATTTGATCGCTGTTCTCCTTCAGGTCCTCCTCATCACATTCGGAGACTCTTTTCAGACCGGGGTTCAACTCTCTGTCCTGTTGTTGCTGTTAGTCGAGTTAATCAACAGTCCTTCAGAGTTGTAGATTAACAGAGCAGCTCAAGTTCATACAGCAGATACATAAATGCAGAAGTGCCTTTGATCTCTTATAAGATGCAGGGAGAGTTTCTTTCTGCTCTTTTAGTCTCAGGTGTGAAGCTCTTACCTGTAATCTGAAGCTGTGGACGAATGCCTCGCTGCTCTGTTGTCCTTGCGTTTGTGTACGAATGATATTGAAGAGAGTTAATGAGACTCTAAAGAAGGAAATTACAGTGAAACACTGCACCAGTAGAGCCGGTTCTCTCACGGACTCCTCCTCCTGCTCGTTACAGTCCGTGATGCTGGTCAGTGAGGTGTTTCTGTTGTTTCTGACTGTTATGAGTCCAAACACGCTGATGTTCTGCGTCTGCGGCCCTTAAACACACTGATCCTTCAGTTTATCTGCCTGTGAACTAAAGAAACACATCAGCACACGCTTACACTCATTCATTATTTTATTATTTATTTTATTTAACAGATGAAGATCAGTGTTGAATGATGTCAGTGAGGCAATATGACGTAATGAATAATCCGTTCACAAGGCGTTTCGACCTCCAGTAGCCCAGAGTAACAGCAGGAATGAGCCAGTATTTGATGCTCATTGTCCACTGTTTTGACATTCTCATGCTTGCACAGTAGTCACATAAGTACAGATCTACTATATATACAGTTTGATTAACCTTTGCTTCATTAGTCATGTTCCTGCATCAGTTCAAAATCACACTGCATGCAGTTATCTACACCTTATACATGAAGCATACTGAAAATGAGGCTGTGAGGGACAGACTTAGTCTTTACAATGGCACGCACCGTATAAAGGCCCTAGCTTGCGTAATTTGCAAAACTTTCAAAGCAGTTTTATGGAGTTTTGAAAGTTTTTGTCAGAAGCACGTTTTGTCAGCTGAACAATCAGTGTGTTGTAAAACAACAGTACAATCCATCGAACACGCTGTACTTCAGTCCTTCACAGCCTTGCTTTCGTTCCTGTCAGAAATTACAAATCAGTGCAGAGATTGTCACTGGTTCATCTTTGTGTGACCCAATAAAACCTGGTGGAGTTCTGATCTGGTTCTGGCACTGGTCTGTTGACCCGCGTCTGGCCTCACCGATCGCTGGGATCTGCTGAAAACAACAACAACAACAGAAACCATCACAGAAGTTCTATTACAAACATAACAAACTATCAAAAGTTAACCATTAAAACCTTTACAGAATGGTTTCCAGTAGCACTAAGTTCACAGAATTGAACTACTTGTAAACTGTTGCACATGATGTTTTTCCAGCGGTTTAAAGGTTTGACCTACTGCATAAATTGTGATCCTTCACGATAACCTCATGAGACTGTTTATGATTACTACTAGTGATTTTCTAGTAGAAATTGTGTATGGCGCATAGCAGTGTCTGTAAACTGTGTATTTTAGGTAAGGGATGTTTTGATATGTGTTTAGGGTCATTGCGCTTGTTCTGTTATGCAAACCTGGCAACCCTGTGTTTTAATATTCCATCAGGATTTAGTGGTTTTAATATACCACCAGTAGAAGGCAACCAATTACCAGAGACCCACAGGGACCATTACAGTTTCAACTAAACCAATATAATTCCCATTATAAATTTAACAAGGGTTTCTTTTTTTCACCAGGGTAATGACTGATCAAAAGTCCACTTGTGGAGATTTTCACTGGTTCGTCTTTACACGCACCCTCATAATGCGATTATAATGGGATTTTGGCAATATTGCCATTAAACTTTACCTCATGTAAACGCAATACTTTGATCAAAATAATGTGAATATCGCAGCAAGCATGATCGTATGTGGCGTATGCCGGTTTTAATCGCAATAAACAGGCATGTAAACGCCTTAATCGCATTATTACAGCTCTGAGCACAACTTCACGAATGAACTCTTGTGACATTAATCTGAAGCAGTCCTGGTTCTGCTGAGGTGCTAGAGGTGTTCAGCACCCGCAGGTGAAGCTGTGATAATAGCATTGGCAAACGCTCCAGTGTGTTACCTTCAAAGGTTTCTATTTACAACGTGTTTTTGCAGCGTTGAGGAATGCAGCCAATCACAGACTTACCTGTTGAGTTTTTGAACGCAGTGGCCAATCAGAGGAGTTTAAGTCAGAATCCACTCACCGCTCACGTGATAAATAGAAACCTTTGACGCGAATAACGCACTGGAGCGTTTGCCAAATCTGTTCTGAGCAGAATCCTGTTATTACAGCCTCACCTGAGGAGGGCGCTCTTGCTTTCAAACTCTCACGGAGTTCCTTCATGAAGTTGTGTGAAGAATACCCGGCATCCAACACATTTACTTTGGTGTCACGTTCCATTTATACTAAGGCGCAATGTTGAGGAAAGTTACTTTTAAAAGTAATGCATTACAATATTGCGTTACTCCATTTAAAAAAAGTTACTAATTGTGTTACTTAGTTGCTTTTTAAGGAAAATAATGCGTTACGTTACTTTTGCGTTACTTATCTGAACTTCTGATGAATTCACTGATACATTGAGTGACCATTTCTGCTGATTACATCTTTACGCCAGTAGGTGGTGACAAATGAATGTCTTCTATGTTTTTGAGTGAGTTATTGAATCATTTAATCATTTTAGGCCTTCAGTTGGACAGTGCAGACGTGACAGGATTAAACTAAATTTATTTGCTCAATTTTTTCCGACTCATTTTTATTGCATGCTTGAAATTTAAATGAACTATTTTCAAAATGCATCCCTTTTTAATTTGAACACAGTTTTAGACATTATGCTTTCAGTGTTTTAGTTTGGATTAATATATGTATATAAATAATTACAAACGTTAATGTGTACCTTAAAACATTAGATAACTTTATGGACGACATTGCGGACACTAGAATGAATTTTCCCACAAATATAATTACTAGATGTCTGGAAAGCTCCTCTGGCTGATCAGTGTGTGCAGCGCCACAGGAAGTCAAACACACACACTCTGATCACGGTTTGCTATTAACCTTATAGTTAGCAGCCAAACGGGAATGATTAATGAATACTTGTAATGGTATTTTTATGCTCAGACTGACAGAAGCAAATGCAGTGTGTGTGTGTCACCTGTAGATGGCAGAAGAGCATTAATGGAGTCGGTCAGTTCGAGTGAAACAGCTTGATTCTGTGATCTGTTCACATTCATCTCAGCATCAGCATTCGCTCAGCCTCTGATCATGGCCCTTCAGTTGTAGAAACAGTCACTAAAGCTGTGAATGAGAGAATATAGTATTTCACCCTTTATAGTATTAGGAGCCTCCATCTGCTATAATATAAAGAATATTTGTGATTTATGTATTCTCTGTGCTTTACTGTGATGGCATATTTTTTTAAGTTGGGGAAGTCTGAGATCTGTATTGTTTTTAATACAATTAATGGTTTTTAGTTTACGTCACAGCTGTGATTTTCAAGAGAGGGATGTTCTTAATCTGAAGCATTTGATTGGGTGATTATTTGGCTCCGCCCCTCAGTACATCATGAGTCATCATCAGTATTTTCAGCTGGATTTCCTGGAAGAAAAGCATCTGTCTGTTGTATTAAGTTTATTTGTCGACTTTTATCAGTGCAGTAGCACATATCCAGAAGACTCACGTGTTGAAGTAGATGTTGTTTAGCGGAGGAATATCTGGTTAACAGAATGTGGTTAACAGTCTGATCTGCTCCTGAGTTTGCAGGGACACATTACCAGTAAGTAGTTAGTGAGTTACTCTCAGTAATGTGCACTTAAGCGGCGTTTAACCTCCGGTTACTCCAGCGGGAATCTTTCTGTAATTAATGTGTCGTGTTGCTGTGTACGGAAGCCTGTTTCCGCCACTGAATAAAAAATAAAAAAAAAGTAATTGCAACTTTTTATCTCTCTGACTTTTTTTCTCAGAATTGCATGATATAAACTCACAGTTGCAATTTATAAAGTCAGCATTGTGTGATATAAACTCCGTAATTGTGACTATTTTTCCCAGAATTGTGAGATATAAAGTCCAGTTCTGAGAGGGGGAAAAAAAGTCGCAATTACCTTTTTTAAAATGTTTTATTCAGTGGCAGAAACGGCTTCCATAGCTGTAGATGAAAGAGCCCACGTGAGCCTGATGCAGGCAAACATGACCCCGGGCCCCTGGAGAACATCAGTTAATGCTGTAATTATCCAGAGGCCACAGACGGGTCACGGACAGAAACAAAGCATTTCAGTTCCTGTACATTTATGATGTATCTGGAAAAAGTTTGCTTCACTGTGTTTTAAAGCAGTAATACACTACTAGTGAAAAATTTGTGGTCAGTAAGATATTTTTTTATAGAAATTAATACTTTTATTCATCAAGGATGCACTAAATCGATCAAAAGTGACAGTAAAGACATTTATTATGCTTCAAATGATTTCTATATCAAATAAATGCTGTTCTTTTGAACTTCCTATTCATCTGTGGATCCTGAAAAATAAAATGTGTGTACCTGGTGTTCCCTATATTATGAGGTCCAAATGTCTCCACAAGGACAGTAATACCAGTAAATTCTGACCTTGTTGGGACATTTTTTTGGTCCTCATGAGGAAACAAGCTAATAAATCCCACAGAATGAAGTGTTTTGAGAATCTAAAACTGCCTGTGGTTTTCTGTGAGGGGCAGGTTTAGGTGTAGGGTTAGAGTAAGGGGATAGAAAATACCGTTTTTATTGAATTGATATCAATTTATGACCATTATGTAGTGAAAAACAACAACAACAACAACAACAACAACAAACAAACACATGAATGGGGATCACTGGGCTGATCCAGAAAACATTTATTTGCATTGAATAGATCTGTGTATAGTTGTGCATGTTTGTGATGAGAGACAGGTTGTGGATTGTGTTCTGGGCAGGAAGAGAGCAGATCTCACAGCAGTAACTTCCTGTAGAGCAGCCGCTCGCTCAGCCAGAGCTCAGGACTCACACTTCAGCTCCCATCATCCACCGGCCTCTGCTGAAATATCACTGGCATTGTGTGCAGTAAGTCTGTTCAATCAGCAGATAAACATGAGTGTGTGTGTGTGTGTGTGTGTGTGTGTGTGTGTGTGAGTGTGTGTGTGTGTGTGTGTGTGTGTGTGTG